GGTACTATACAATCAGTGAGAGGGGGTTATAGTACCTGCAGGGTCTCTGTAACAATGAATGGAGAGACAGTGACAGGGACTCCAGGTACTATACAATCAGTGAGAGGGGGTTATAGTACCTGCAGGGTCTCTGTAACAATGAATGGAGGGACAGTGACAGGGACTCCAGGTACTATACTATCAGTGAGAGAGGTTGCAAGACACAAGTCTCTGTAACAATAATGAATGGAGGACAGTGACCTGAGGGACTCCAGGTACTACAATCAGTGGCGTGGGTTATAGTACCTTAGGGTCTCTGTAACAATGAATGGAGGACAGTGAGCAAGGGACTCCGGAGCACTATACAATCCCAGTGAGGTTATAGTACCTGCAGGGTCTCTGTAACAATGAATGGAGGGACAGTGACAGGGACACCAGGTACTATACAATCAGTGAGAGGGGGTTATAGTACCTGCAGGGTATCTTTAACAATGAATGGAGGGACAGTGACAGGGACTCCAGGTACTATACAATCAGTGAGAGGGGGTTATAGTACCTGCAGGGTCTCTGTAACAATGAATGGAGGGACAGTGACAGGGACTCCGGGTACTATACAATCAGTGAGAGGGGGTTATAGTACCTGCAGGGTCTCTGTAACAATGAATGGAGGGACAGTGACAGGGACTTCAGGTACTATACAATCAGTGAGCGTGGGTTATAGTACCTGCAGGGTCTCTGTAACAATGAATGGAGGGACAGTGACAGGGACTCCAGGTACTATACAATCAATGAGAGGGGGTTATAGTACCTGCAGGGTTTCTTTAACAATGAATGGAGGGACAGTGACAGGGACTCCAGGTACTATACAATCAGTGAGAGGGGGTTATAGTACCTGCAGGGTCTCTGTAACAATGAATGGAGGGACAGTGACAGGGACTCCAGGTACTATACAATCAGTGAGAGGGGGTTATAGTACCTGCAGGGTGTCTGTAACAATGAATGGAGGGACAGTGACAGGGACTCCAGGTACTATACAATCAGTGAGAGGGGGTTATAGTACCTGCAGGGTCTCTGTAACAATGAATGGAGGGACAGTGACAGGGACTCCAGGTACTATACAATCAGTGAGAGGTGGGTTATAGTACCTGCAGGGTCTCTGTAACAATGAATGGAGGGACAGTGACAGGGACTCCAGGTACTATACAATCAGTGAGAGGGGGTTATAGTACCTGCAGGGTGTCTGTAACAATGAATGGAGGGACAGTGACAGGGACTCCAGGTACTATACAATCAGTGAGAGGGGGTTATAGTACCTGCAGGGTCTCTGTAACAATGAATGGAGGGACAGTGACAGGGACTCCAGGTACTATACAATCAGTGAGAGGGGGTTATAGTACCTGCAGGGTCTCTGTAACAATGAATGGAGGGACAGTGACAGGGACTCCAGGTACTATACAATCAGTGAGAGGGGGTTATAGTACCTGCAGGGTCTCTGTAACAATGAATGGAGGGACAGTGACAGGGACTCCAGGTACTATACAATCAGTGAGAGGGGGTTATAGTACCTGCAGGGTCTCTGTAACAATGAATGGAGGGACAGTGACAGGGACTCCAGGTACTATACAATCAGTGAGAGGGGGTTATAGTACCTGCAGGGTCTCTGTAACAATGAATGGAGGGACAGTGACAGGGACTCCAGGTACTATACAATCAGTGAGAGGGGGTTATAGTACCTGCAGGGTCTCTGTAACAATGAATGGAGGGACAGTGACAGGGACTCCAGGTACTATACAATCAGTGAGAGGGGGTTATAGTACCTGCAGGGTCTCTGTAACAATGAATGGAGGGACAGTGACAGGGACTCCGGGTACTATACAATCAGTGAGAGGGGGTTATAGTACCTGCAGGGTCTCTGTAACAATGAATGGAGGGACAGTGACAGGGACTCCAGGTACTATACAATCAGTGAGAGGGGGTTATAGTACCTGCAGGGTCTCTGTAACAATGAATGGAGGGACAGTGACAGGGACTCCAGGTACTATACAATCAGTGAGAGGGGGTTATAGTACCTGCAGGGTCTCTGTAACAATGAATGGAGGACAGTGACAGGGACTCCAGGTACTATACAATCAGTGAGAGGGGGTTATAGTACCTGCAGGGTGTCTGTAACAATGAATGGAGGGACAGTGACAGGGACTCCGGGTACTATACAATCAGTGAGAGGGGGTTATAGTATTATATTATTGATGTTATTATGGGATGGTAAGGCAGGGTGCTGGTTGCCTGGTTACTGTGTGGATTATTATTATTATGAAGGCCTCGCTCCCCCCAGGTCTCCCCCGGTGTGCTGGTGCAGAGCTTACCCCCGCCGCCCGCGCTGTCTCCGGGGAGAACGAGCTGTGAAACCCCCGCTATGGCGCGCTTCCACACGTCCAGTCAGGGCCGCTCTGTCCGCTGCGCTCTATGGTACGAGAGGACTCGGCGCAGTAACACAGCGCCACCGTGCGGCACCAGCCTACAGTAGCACAGCGCCACCAGCCTGCATTATCACAGCGCCACCGTGCGGCTCCAGCCTGCATTAACACAGCGCCACCGTGCGGCTCCAGCCTGCATTATCACAGCGCCACCGTGCGGCTCCAGCCTGCATTAACACAGCGCCACCGTGCGGCACCAGCCTGCATTATCACAGCGCCACCGTGCGGCTCCAGCCTGCATTATCACAGCGCCACCGTGCGGCTCCAGCCTGCATTATCACAGCGCCACCGTGCGGCTCCAGCCTGCATTATCACAGCGCCACCGTGCGGCTCCAGCCTACATTGACTCCACACTGGATGAAGACAGTATGGCTTGTCAACTGCTTGAACCCAGCCCTGGCTGAGTCATGGGAGTCACTAATGAATACTAACTCTGGATAGGATTTAGATTGCAGGCACTGAGAGTCATAGGAGTTATTACTCAATACTTCTAGATAGGAATTAGATTACAGACTTTGGGAGTCATGGGAGTTATTATGAATACTAGATTGCAGGTGCTGAGAGTCATGGGAGTTATTATGAATACTAGATTGCAGGTGCTGAGAGTCATGGTAGTTATTATGAATACTAGATTGCAGGTGCTGAGAGTCATGGGAGTTATTATGAATACTAGATTGCAGGTGCTGAGCGTCATGGGAGTTATATGAATACTAGATTGTAGGTGCTGAGAGTCATGGGAGTTATTATGAATACTAGATTACAGGTGCTGAGAGTCATGGGAGTTATTATGAATACTAGATTGCAGGTGCTGAGCGTCATGGGAGTTATATGAATACTAGATTGTAGGTGCTGAGAGTCATGGGAGTTATTATGAATACTAGATTACAGGTGCTGAGAGTCATGGGAGTTATTATGAATACTAGATTGCAGGTGCTGAGCGTCATGGGAGTTATATGAATACTAGATTGTAGGTGCTGAGAGTCATGGGAGTTATTATGAATACTAGATTACAGGTGCTGAGAGTCATGGGAGTTATTATGAATACTAGATTGCAGGTGCTGAGCGTCATGGGAGTTATATGAATACTAGATTGTAGGTGCTGAGAGTCATGGGAGTTATTATGAATATTAGATTGCAAGTGCTGAGCGTCATGGGAGTTATATGAATACTAGATTGTAGGTGCTGAGAGTCATGGGAGTTATTATGAATACTAGATTGCAGGTGCTAAGAGTCATGGGAGTTATGAATTACTTGAGATATATATATATATATATAGACTAATTTGGCACTGCTTGCTATTAAATCTTGATAAAGTCCAATTGGAAGAAACACACTAACGCGGTAGATGCTTATATTACATGTTAAAGTTTGGCTCTGATGCTAAGGGCCACACTTTGCTAGTTGAGGACTGGGCTCCAGCCGCACTCATGGACCACGGTGCTGTGCATCTCCATATGGAATCTCGTTTTATAAGCAATCGCTCTTTTACATTGTCTGTTGCAATTAGTACCCCACTCGATATGGACTTACAGCATCAGAGGTATTAAAAACCAGGTATCGGTGTGGGTTTCTCCCCATGTGAAATAGGACTTTTTGTTCCTCTAAATACCACAGAAGTTAGTGGGTTCCTCAACAGGAGCTGACACAGCAATTGATACATCTGATACATTTGTTTACTACATAGCTTTTTGTGCTC